TTACTTTTAGTTCTAAGAAGCTTTATGCTAGTATAGAATTCTCTTCAAATCTCCTTTATTATTCCTTTATTCTCTTTTCCCTTTGACCTTTACTCTCTCACAACTCTCTCGCATTATTACTTTTTTTAGATAAATACAATTTTCGTAAAAATTGACATAGGACTTAGATATCTCTTTTCTCTCTTAATATTTTCTTTATCAGTTTATACCCTCTCTCAATCCAGGTTCTTATTTGTAAACTAATTTAATGATTAGTGAACAAACTTGTAACATTTTGGTGCTCCCTCTGTGGATAAAATTTAAACCCACAGAAACTGAATCCTTTATAAATTACATTTCCTGAAAACCAAACCTCTGTGAAGATTTAATTTCAAAAATCTCCTTTTATATTTAATTCTCTTTATGAATGATTATTATAACTTTATTGGAGAACCTATTAGCTCACATCTTGACACTCATCTTAAAGTTCAACATCAAGATACAACACCTCGAATAAATCAATAATATTACTATTATATTTGTTTTCCATCTTCTGATACAATAACTGAACTTCTAGCTAACTTTCTCACTTGAATTCAAGAATATTTGGATCTTTTATTACTGAACAGCTATTTGAAGATATCTACGAAGCAAATCTTATCACTATTGGAACTGAAAATTGAGAAGACGAGTAATCTGACTATTAAATATCTTAATCTACCAAAACAAATATACAGTTGATCATCAACTACTATTAGTTAAAAGAATACTTGAAGGCTTTTACAACTTGGAATTTGAAAAAGATTCCAATGTATCTAATAGTTATTACTTTGAAACTACCAGCAATATTGAAACAACAGAAGACCGACAAATAATTATTGAAGTAGTAGAAGAAAAACAAACAGAAGAACAACAACTAATTATACAAACTGATACTTAAGAAGAACTGGATATTTTTTATCAAGAACAACTATCAGAAGAAGAATTAAACTCTGAATTCAAAAAAATAACTGAAGAATCTGAAAATGAAGAAATGGCTGTTAACCTAAATGATGTTCTTCATGGACTAAATGCTTTTACTACTGCTCTCAATATTGAACTAAGAGCTGAGAAGAATCATATTCCAATTTGAAAATTCAAAGATGATGATCAAGTTTCTGTTGAATGATTCAGAGACTTGGAAGTTACTGCCACAGCTAATGGAGTCACTGATGCACAAAAAATTCAAATTGTTCGTGAATACACACCCCTACAGTATATTACCGGAAATTTCAAAAATGAATTTGTCACTTTGTAACCCGATATCTCGACATCCAGTGATCCCATTCGAACAAAAATATCACCATTAGATTCGTATAGTTGAAACGAATCTAATGGTAATATTTTTGTTCGAATGGGATCATTGGATGTCGAGATATCGGGTTACAAAGTGACAAATTCATTTTTGAAATTTCCGGTAATATACTGTAGGGGTGTGTACTTGGAAGATGCAGCTGCTGCTTAGTTTGATCAAAGAGCTACTAATAATCCTCTCACTCTAACTGAATGGACAAATCATGAAAATGATGAACACAACTTTAAATACAGTTTTGTTCTGAAATTTTGTACTCCTCGAAAGGTTGAACAATGGCAAAATGAACTTGAAACCCTTCAACAAACTGGAAGTATTGACGAATACACAAATTGGTTCAATGCTCTTCTAAAGAAAGTTAATCCTACCAATGCTTATCCAGATGACTACAAAACCAGAACCTATAAGCAAGATCTGAAACCAGAAATTCGTAAATGGGTTAAAATAAATGCTGATGAAATATTATCAAACATCATTCATGTAGCTAAAATCATTGAAAAAGCTAACTCAGAAGAACCAACTATCACATATTATCAAATCCAGAACAGATCAACACCTGATCTTACTCAACTTATAACTGTACTTCAAAATCTGATCAGTAGGTTAGATAGTCTAGAAGCATCAAGAAAATCTGCTTTCCAACCAAAAAGCAATAATCAAAACTATTCTCGTAACAACAACTACCAACTAAAGATGGCACAGTAACTGTTGCAACATGGTGACAAATAAAGCATCACCTAGTTGCAACTAGTTGCAGCTTATAAAATTTTGGAGTTGCAACGTGTTGCAACAGGTGACAAATAAGCATCACATACTTGCTGCGCCATCTCTAATATATATTATTAATTTTTTTGTTTATAATATTTATTGTATACTCAAATTCTTTATAGATTAGAGATCTTTCATTATTTGACACTTGAGTAAGTGAAAATAGAAATTGAATTAGTAATGAAGAATATTTAATATTATCAATTTTTATTATTTTATCACTAATTGACAAATAATTAGATAAAGCCAATTGATAAAAAGAAGAATGAGATGATGAAAGAGGAGAAATCATGGTAAAATCTATGATTTTTTTATACTTATCTTTATTACCTATTATATATAATAGAAAGAAATTAGCAAAAATATTTATTTATAATATTTCTATATAATTTTTTACAAAGCAAGTAAAACAGCAAGTGAAGCAACAGGTGAAACAGCAGATGAAACAATAGGTGAAGCAATAGATAAAATAGCAAATAAAAGAACAGTTAACATAGATAAAGCAGCAGATGTAAGAGAAAATGAAGTTGATTGTCAGAATTTTGGACCTATTGAAGTAAGATTAAGAAATTTAATTAAGAAATTCTTATAATCTTTGCAGTTGCAAAAAAACTTTAAAAGATTTTGTTCACTTTTTGTAACTATATGACTGAATAGATCTTTTGTTTGATTAAAAGTCTGCATTTTTAGTTGTTCTATATTGAATGACATTATATCAATTAATTTTAAAGAATTACCTTTGGAGAATTTTTTAGATTATCTTGATAATCTGTGAAAATAGTTGAATATAATTATTAAAAGGAATATAATAATAAATAAAAAAGGAATATAGTAGTGAATAAAAAAGAAATATAATAGTAAATAAAAAAGAAATATAGTAGTGAATAAAGTAATAAAAAAATAGAGAAGTGACCTGTTATTTATATAATAAGTTGCTACATCTATCATACTTTACCAGACTGTAAAAAAATCTGTGTCATACTTTATTTGTTTTCTATCAATATTAAAAATCTGTATTAAAAATGACGCGGTAACTGTTGCAACGTGATGACAAATAAAGCATCACCTAGTTGCAACTAGTTGCGGCTTATAAAATTTTGGAGTTGCAACGTGTTGCAACAGGTGACAAATAAGCGTCACATACTTGCTGCGCCATCTCTAGTTCTCTGCATATTTGCTAAATAGTTATAAATTAATCTTTTTTCAATATCAACCATTTTTTCTGTAATGTACAAATATATATTTGATAAACAAAAATTACTTGCTTAAAAGCCAAAGCCATGATATATAAACTTACTATTAGAACTTTCACGTGATGCATAATAGGAAATTGCAGCAATAGTTAAAGTAAAATTTGATTGTCTCTATAAAAAAAATAAAAGATAATAATCAGGAAAAAATCTAATTTTTCAGTTCTAGAAAATTACCAGTTTTGTTAACAAATTTCCAGATTAAAATCTGATAAAAATCTGATTAAAAATCTGGTAACTTTGAAACATGATATCTCATGAATTACTAATTCAATCTAGATGAAAATATCACTATTTGATTTATCTAGTCTTGGTGAATTGAATAGTATTTTCATCCAGATTGGATCAATGATTTGTGAGATATTGTATTTCAAAGTTACCAGATTTTTAATCAGATTTTTATTAGATTTTAATCTGGAAATTTGTTAACAAAACTGGTAATTTTCTAGAACTAAAAAATTGAATTTTTTCCTGATTATTGTCTTTAATTTTTTTTTTACAGGGTGTATATACAAAGATGCAAAATATATTGCACTTAAGAATTTATTAAATAATATAATTCTGTTGATTCTTGATATTTATGCTTTATTTTTTCGTGCTGGTAATTTTAACTCTTACATTAAATCATGTTTTTGAGTTTAAACTATTTTTCTTAAATTTCATTATAAGAATTATACTAAAACATCTTTGATATTTCTATCAGATATTTTCTACTAACAATCAAAAAATTATTTAATTCTGAAGATAATGAAGGCAGAATTATCTAAATTCTCTGATTTGCCTGTTGAAAGCTTTCACAATCTTTTATAATACAATACAAAAAAGCATTTTACAGCAAGTCAAATAATAAAGAAAGCACAATATATTAATTATTTACGATTGAGTAATAATAAATTCAAAGAAAATTTCATTTATACTTTAACTTGGATAATATATCAATATTCTTCTCAGGATATTACAATATTGACACAGAAAACTGCATGTTTTCTTTTAGATTGTTTTTCAGATATTTACACTCATATTAACTATAAGAAAATGCAATTTTTAATTTCATCGCAGGTTGCTACAAAAAGCTTATCAAAAAAGAGAAAAACTAATGCTGAAAACATTTTTTCTATTCCAGCAATGAAGATGAAAGATGCATGACTCTGTCATTTATCTTTAGGATATAGCTCTTTTTACAAACCTAGTTTGCTTGATTGTGATTCTTCTAATTGTTTTACTACTAATATTATAATTACTGAAGAAACAGGTCAGATATTGTCATGTGGCCATGCATGTCATAACATATGCTTTAGCCGAGACGGATTCAAATGCTTGCATTGCCTGAATTATATAAAGTCTGGTGTTGACGAACATGTACAGTCACTCTTGGATCGTCTATGCCGGCTTAATTTGAATAACGAAGCTGAAAACGAAGAACCCGATTTTGTTCCCGATGATGATCATAATGATAAAGAATCTGTTGATGATATTTCAGCTTCCTGGGACACTGCGATACGGCGATTTCTTCAACAGTAATTAGCTAATAATTGAAATGCTTTTTGTAAGTAATCTGATGGATCTATCTAACTATCTAATCAAATAAATAAAAAATATGCTTTTATGCTACTCGAAATTTAATTAATCGAATTGATGCTCAAATTTAATTGGTCAATTACATGTTTGAGTCGTCAAACCAGTCAATAATATGAATTTCTTCCTATGTGATAAGCTCGTCATTCTGATTAACCATCCGAATTGTATAACCTAAGTTAGTTTGTGAACTAACCGACGAAGAACGAGAAGAATCATCGGAAAATAGCACTCACTTGGCTGATACCGTGTTCATAAAGTTTGGAGAACTTCTGGAATCTCAGAATCAACAGAAATCTTGGGAGACTCGTCAGAAGAGTTTAAAAAAAAATAGTCAACATACCGAGCTAGAGAAAGTATTATTCAAGTAGATAGTCAACGTACTACGTAATCTTATACCGATACAGTAATTGAGTTTACAAAATCAACCAATCAAAATTTTACAAATATTAAAAATGATCTACATGTTCCCCAAATTGCGGTGATAAATTTGAAGATCATCAAATCATATTTAAGGCCGCTATGTGTTTCATTACACAGTGAACACTTTATTTCTTCACTTTGACATATAAAAAAAATGGATTTGCCTTCCTTTAAAAAAACTCCTAGTACAGAATCTATATCGATAACTACTGCAGTGGGTAATTCAATAAATAACACCATTACTGAAATTAATATCTCCAAAAAACAAAAAAGAGATGACTCCGACGACGAATATTCTCGCCGCCGGCATAAACA